CCAACCCAAACCAGTCTGTGATTCTAAAGAGTCTTAAGTGAGTCTTAAGTGTCTTTCCTAAGGGTCGAGGCGGTAGCTGTAAAGCTTGGGCACCACACTGCTACAAAGCTCAATCAGTTGGTAACGAACCTGCAGATCTCCCGAGTCCACAGGACTGGTCTGAGCTCCCACATAACATGGGACCTCTCAGAGTTGAGTGGATTCCTGTAGCTGTTGAGTCTTGCAAAGTGACTGCTAAAAGGATTAAGTAGCTCTTGGGAAGATGGGCAGTGATACAGTGCTGGAGCAGAGGCGTTTGGTTTACAGTAGGAATTCCTGAGCAGATCTTGCTTGCAGGCTGCTTGTACCAAAGTGGTGTTGGGGGTTTGTACATTCATTTCACAGCCTGCTAGAAACCAGGCTTTCTGCTCTGCTCCCTGACAGCGAGCTCCTTTTCATAGCTTGACCTCACCCCAGCTCAAAAGGAGAGCGCCTTTTGCTGTGTCAGGTGTCATTGCCGCCCTCTGTCGTGTTTCAGAAAGGAGGTGGAGGAAGCAGAGCTTAAGCTGCCTTTAATGAAAGAGCTTTCCATGAGGAGATGTCTCAGGTTCTGAGGTGACCGCTGTGGCTGGATGAAATAGTTCTGCTTTTCTTCCATTGCAGGGGGAAAACCAGACGACATCACCGTCCTTCTGTCTATAGTAGCCGAGTACACAGACTGAGCTGCCCGCAGCGGCAGCCCCCGTTTGCACCCCCAGCTCCAGCCCCACACCCGGTTTCCTGCTGGCAGGATCCTTCCTTCCTTCGCAGCCGAGCTCGGCAGCCGGTTCTCGAGCTCGTGGCCTGAAGCCCTTGTGAAGAACCACTCTCATAGTACACTGGTCTTTGTCTGCCAGCAAGAGATGAAGAAGCTCAAGGCTTGAAAAGCATGTGTCTTGGAGCTTAAAAAGGGGGAGGATCGATCCCACGTCGTTACTGCATTTGAAATGTGACTTCCTTTCAAAGGAGCAGAATTGGTTTCTCCTCTTTCAAACTAGATTCAATAGCTACAACCTCTCCAGGAGGGCATATTACTCTACTTACTAGAAACGTTCACTATTCATTAGAGGGTATGTTACAGAACACAGTTTCATAAGCATAGTCTTGTTACAGTGATAGCTGAGGTTTCGTGTTTCTAAGCTCCGGTTTTCAGGAGATTTCTACCTGCTGTAAACATTCTGCTCTTGCCATCCATGGTGTCAGCCTTAGGAGCCTTTTCTAGTACGGGATTTCCAAGACAAAAATCCATACTTAGTTCAAGTTCTATGGATGCAAATGTGTTTTGTGATTTCAGGTGCTTTAACTGTGATCTTAAGAAGTTCTGCAGATCATTTGTCCGTGACGGGCCTGGTATCGGGGTGTTTGGGCTGTGGAGGATTTTAATTTAGTTTAATTTTGGGTCATTTTTTTAAGTACGAATTTTAGCTCAGCACCAGCAAACTGAGCGGGGCAGAGCTGAGGCCCCTGCAGCATCCGACCCCATCGCACCGGCGCGGGGTGATGCGGCACCGAGAACAGCTCATCCTCAGCTCTGCCCTCGCTTCTGCAGCTGATGCTGTTGTTAACGAAGCTTAATTTGTGTTCAGAATTGCCACTCGCTCGTGTAGAACAGAGCGTGCTGCACCCGTTGAGGTCCAGTTGATCCCTTGCCTCGCAGATGAGCACCTCTCTCTGCTACTGCTGTGGCAGCAGCAGGAAGTACAGAACCTATTAATGAGTAATCAGCTAAACTTACATTTCAGTAACTCGAGTTTAGGGTTTGGGGAATGAACCTTAATGATGTTTACAGTTCTCTAACAGCCACTTTGCAATATGACATTTCCCTTCGAATGACCGTAGCTCCCGTTTCTTCCCCCCCCTCTTCCAGCAAGCTTTCCTTTTCCTTTCCCGAGGTTCATACAAAACAAGCTGATAGCTGTAAAGATATATATATTTTTGGTCAGGTTTTTGGTTGTTTTTTTTTTCCATTAACTTTTTTGCTGGTAGAGAAGTCTGTAGAAATAAATTAAAGCCATGTTTTTATATATAAAAAGTCGGGTAATGTTGCTGTTTAGGTGAGTGCAGTTAAACTCGGTCAGTAAGTAATCTTACCTGCTCTCCAGAGGAGATTTTTTACTACCTGGTTTATTGTATTAAAACTGTTTAAGTTTGAGGTTACCTCAACTTGTTTAAAAGAATTTTTGTGGACTTGTACTGTATATTTGCGTAACTATGTCAAGCTTTTATTTAAGGTCATTTAACATGTACCATGTACATGTCATTTTACTATATTTCAATGCACCGTGCTTGTAACAGGCATTTCAGTTATAATAAGTGATTAATTTGGAAGCTCTTCAGTAATTTATCTGCTATTCCTAAATTGGCGCCACGTTAGCGATGGATTTTACATCACCTTGTAATTACTTGTCAAAATGCCTTAACCACCCTAACTTGACCAAAATCTGATTTTGGTGAGGGTACAGGGAGGATGACGTTAATGAAGAAGAATCCCTGAGTTTTGTGCTACCTGGAGCAGTGAGCGGTGGAGAACTTTGCACAAATTGCCAGTCCTCGTTGTTTTCCACAACGGAACAAGCTGTTCCCGGCTGTCTCCTAGAAGGAATGTATCCACGCTGCAGCACAGGGCTTTGTTTCTCGTGTTTGGGAGGGACGTTTCTCTCTCAAATCTTGGGTGTCTTTTACACTTTATTCTCCAGTATTTCCTGTCGCGCTTCTTGATTAGAGCAGATTTGATCAACTCTTCTTTCCCTTCACCTTCCCTTCAGGCGATGCCCCTGTAGACCCGGACTGCTGCACCCTCACCCCTCGCTCTCAGCACGCTCATCCCCAGCCCCTGGTAGTTTTTCCCCCTCTCTGCTTCCTAGAGGTAGGCACGGGGAGACGTTTGCGGAGCGGACAGATGTGGATGGTGGAGGCGCTCGTCCCCTGCGCTGTGCTCTGCCGCTGCGGTGCCGGCATCGGGAATTCCCGATGGGAAGCCGTTGGCCGCTGAGCAGTATCCACAAAGCCGTTTGCCTCATATCACACCGTGATTCTAGTTTTTGTATCATTAAGAACAAATTGGGGTTTTGATTTACAAATCATGAGTTTATCCCTCACCGGACACACCAAAGACCAGTAAAGCTTATAGCTTTTCCATCTGTTTATAAAGCAATACTGTATTATAAAGAATTGATATTTTTATCACATGCTTGATTGTTTTGGGGTTTGGTTTTTTTCCTTTACTTTCAGATGTGCACTCGAAACATATCAAACCTGATTTCTTCCTATGAACTTAAGCTGTCTGCGCACAACAGATTCATGGAAAAGGAAATGACAGGGCCCATCCTATCAAAATCCTTGTAAGCGATGCATGAAGCAGTAACACTTCCTAGGAATTAGCTTATTGTGGCTACTCACGAGAGGAGCGTACAAGAAAGGTGTTCATGCCATGGAAGCGTGCGTGACTCCCAGCTGCACGGAGGGTTTCTGGTTGTGGTCAGGAGCTGGTGGATCGGGAGCGATGAGCTGGAGGAAGAGTTTTGTACATCAGTGCCACTGAACACCTGGGGCTGGTGGGAACTGGGGTTCCTGCAGCATTATTGGGTGTTTGGACAAACCAGGGCTGAGATGTGAATTGGAATAACTCTGTGGTTCCTTGCTCCTTTTACAGCTATCTTTGGGAGAGCTGCGCCATCCGGCTTCCCTCCAAATGTACTTTCTTGGTGTCTATGAAGAAGGTTAAATGGCCAAAATAACCCCAAAAAGCAGATCTTGGGACCAGGCAGTTGCAGTGAGTCAAAGAGAAGGGAGAGGTGAGGGTCTGGCAAAGATGTGGAGGATTTAGTGGTGGAATCCCTATCTGTTGGTGATGGATATCCCTCCTCTGTGGAAAAACCCAGCTGTGTGGGTAAGAAGGGGCTGTATGAAGTAGTTTCTCACAAAGATAGCTGAAATAACGAAGCAAATCTGAGTCTGTATCTAATGAGGATGCTTTTTTGTTGTTGTTAAAATGAGACTATCATCTATGCTTACCTAAGAAGCGATTATGTGAATTTCATGTCTGAGGTATAACTTATGCAGGAATAGTTCTGTAAATACATTTAAATGAATTGTAAAGATATTTAATAAATATAGTATTTATACTAAAATGTGCTTTTTTAAAGTAAACTTGACTGCAAAACCTCTGTTTGTCAACGCAGTGATGTCGGTGGTGGCACAAGGATCACTGCCACTGGGGTGTTGAGCTCTTGTTTAGACCCTTGTATGGTCTTCCTAAATCGCTGTGGGAATGAAAGTGGGCTCTAACAATCCGGCAGACAGAATCACCAGTTTTGGTTAAGTAAAGATGAGGAAATTCAGTATTTTATCCCAGTGTGACTTTGGGAACACCGCCACTGAGCTGTGACGGAAGAGGCAGGGGGTGGGAAAAGAATAATGGGAAACACAGAAACCTCTTGAACATCACCTTTATTTGTTCAAATGCATTCCTCTGCCGTTGGTTACTCAGTGAAATGGCAGTTCTGCACCAACCCTGTGGCAGCACCGGCTGTTCCCCAGCAGTAGTGTGCCCGGCTGTGCTGGAGTGGGTGGATGGGTTCATTTTTCCAGCACTCAACTTTACAACAGCAGCTTACCTGGCCTCAAGTGGCAGAGTTCTCCAGTGGGAACGCGCTGAACAGCTGAAGCTGTTCTTGCACAACACGTAACGAACCCCAGACGGGCCAGGACAGCAGGTAACGGCGCGGGATGACCTGTGCTGGTGGTGAATGTGAACAGTGAGTGAACTCGTAACCTGAACTGACAAATTAGCTGGTGCTGAGTTGAGTCCTTGTCTTGCAAAAACATAGGCGTTGTCTGAGTGGGATTTCCACTTCCCAGACTCCAAACAGGTATTCATGAAGTGCTCTTCACTGCACCAGCTTAGAACGCAGCTTCCATCAAGCTCTTAACTTGCAGAACAGCAGATAAACTTTGTAAAACCAGGAACAGCTCCACTTTCAAGGCAAATCCCAGTAGTCTTTAGGTTCAGATGCTTTATGGCACTAGAGGACTGGGGGGCTCCGCACGTTGCCAAAATCCTCTTCAGTGTCGCTAGCTGTCGCTAGGCTATGGAAGGTGTGACTGATGGCATCCTTCTCCTTACAGGAAACTGCTCCAAAAAACAGGGAATGAAACTGAAAATACAGTAATTACAGAAGTCAGAAACTCTGAATTTGGGGTTAATTATTTCTGAAGCTTTTGCTACCTCAGGATCTTTATTAGTCTACAGCGGCTCCATGTAAACCACACCTGTCACCTGTGAGTATTCCCAGTACTAAACATGGTGGCAGAGGTGTTTTTTGTCAGCTCTGCTGCTGTGGGAGCTGCTTCCACTGAAAGGCCACAGGCAGAATTGAATGTAGTTACATGTAGCGACCCCCAGGCTACGTGTACCTGAACACCGGCTGAGGTGTTCCACCCTAAATACAACTGGCTGTCTCACCTTGTCATAGTGAGCCTCTGTTGCCCCTCCTGCCAGTGCCGCATGGGCTGTGGTTGTTCCTCCTACCCCTGTTGCATCTCCCTCTGTGGCTCCAGGAATGACTTTTCTCTGTTTCACCAAAGGACTCCGAGGTTTTGCCGGCTCCGTGCTCGGGGTGTTTCCATTCCTCTGTGGCTTTTTGGAAGCGTTTGCCTGTGTGCTGCTGTCTTTATCCATGGAGGCTTTTTCAGCTTTCCCTGTACGTGTCTCCAGGCTGGATGGGAGAGAGTAGGTCAGGTCAGTAACTGGCTTTTATGTTTCCATTAGAATGTCTATTTTCTGATAGTGAAATCATTATGGCTTTAGAATGGATTCTCAACAAGTACCTTCCCTTCCTCCCCTACTGCAATAGCCCTGTGGAGATAAAAGAAAGCAGAAGCCAGTACAGAGTGTGCTCTCTTGTACTGTTTTATTGCTGCACATGCTGCTAAGGTGTTCCTGAACCTGCCTAGTTCACTGTTCTGTGAACAGAGACTCCAGTACCCTGCAACAATGAGCTGATTCCTTTTCATCCTAAATCCAGCTTGGCTGGAACGCTTAAACTTCAATTTTCCACCCTCCCTCTCCCACCCCTGAAGCCCACCGTTACCTTTCCTGCCGTGGTGTAAAGCTGGGTGGTTGCTGCTGGGAAGTCTTCTTGTCAACATCAGACAAGGTAGCCAAGATAAAGCTGGCTTCCAGCACCAGATCTTCAATGCTGAAAGCAACTGGCCTGAACAAACATTCAGAGGTGTAAACCAGTGTGTGTAATTACACGTGCTGTGGGAGAAAACAGTTTGTGCAGTTCTACACATAGGGATTAAAATGTGCCTCTGAAAAGCTGAAAATGTGATGTATTTGCTGCTGAAGGATATGAGACGGCTTCCTGAGGCAGATTTAAATGCAGCAATGAGTAGATGTTATACAATACTGTACAGTATTGTACTTAGTCAAATTATAAATATGCAACAGTTAAATTTGTATTTTAAACAGAAAACTTATTGTTGCTTTAGACTATTGAATAAAACTATTGTCTGCATTAGCATACTTCTGCCTTGATGTGGGTATTTTCCTACCCACACTGTTACCAAATACAGCAGTAACAGCTGTGTGAATCTTGGTCTATGGAAGTAGAGGCAAGTTCTCAGTTTATTTGAATGTTTCCTTTTCTAGTATAATGAATTTTCTCAGTGTAGAATACACCACTCTATATTTTAATGAAGTTGGATGGGGCTTGGAGCAACCTGCTCTAGTGGCAGCGGGTTGGAGCTGGATGAGCTTTAAGGTCCCTTCCAACACAAACCAGTCTAATTCTGTGATTAGTCGGAGAGCCTGAAGCATGCAGGTGACTTCTATATAGGTGCTCATTAGTCAGCGCGGGCAGCTTAGTAATGCTGTGCCTATGTTAAGTGCTTTCTGCATAATAACAGGCTATTTAACCCTGTATCGCAGATTAGAAATAGAGCTTTTTCTGGTTTATTGTTCCAGTTAAATACCGAGTAACAAAACCTGAGTGTAGAGGTGTAATTGCTGCAGTTTGTCAGGTGAGTTCCCAAACCTACTTTCCAGAGATGTCAAAATGGATGGAGACAGGAACACTGGTGGCTTCTGAAAACACCAGGAGTCCCTGGAAAGAAGAGGGGGGTGGTTAAGCACCATTAAAACCAGAAGCTTAATATTAGAATCTTAGTTTATCCCAGATGTTGTTTACTGGCAAGAAAAGGTAAAAGTCAACTGCTTCTAGAACACATGTGCTGCCATCCCTGCCTGGGGCTTTGTCAAAGAAGCTTCCACATGGAGAACTTCTCTGGCCATGCTGCTTCTCCAGGTCAGTCACAGTGGTAAAAGTGTTCTGCTGCCTTTCAAAGGCTACTGTGAGGGACTCCTCAGTGTCCAGAAGATACTGATTTTAAAGCTAATCCTTGACCAGCTGATGCAATAGTGCTGCTGGTCAGGAGGCCTGGTGGAGCCCGTCCAGGGCCATCCTGCATTGTCCTGGTCAAGTCAAGCAAATTAATGGGAAAAGTTCTACTTTCAAAACAAGTTCTTACTTTACCCTCAATTCCTTAAGGCAAAACGTCACTTCAGAATCGACTCCAACCTGGAAGTAGTCAAATTCATCTGGATTCAGTTGTATTTCAGTAAGCATTGTCTTTGAGAAATCTGTTTAAAGTAACAAGAAAGGAGGCAAGTTTGACCCCAACAAACTCTGATTATATCCCTGAGGTTGTTACATCAGCATCGTTTGAGCAAGTAATTGTATTTTTAGTGACTAACAGTAATAAATGTTTTCATCTCAATTTATTTCATAATTAAAATCTTCAGTTTACTTATACTATGTAGATTTAAATGGCTTTTGACACAACCTGTTTGATGTTCCAGTGTGATCTAACCCAATACCTGCTGCTGCTCTCACAGATCTGCTTGTCTACAGGCATTCATCACAAATAATATTACCAGCTGCTTACTGCTGCATAGATGGGAAGATCAAAGTGCCACATGACTTTAACAGGTTAATCATAATTGCTGACAATCATCGGAGGACAATGGACGTGGATTTAGGTTCTTTGTTTTAAATTATAATCTTTTCCTGTTACTAAGTGGCAACAGGAAACAGGCTCCTCAGTTTCAGGTGCCAATTGTTGCTTATCATTAGGTCAGCCCCTAGTTGTTGTTAGGTGCATGAAAAGAAAGTAAGAGGGTGGAACTGTAACACATTCAACAGCTTCTGCAAGGCAGAGCCTACCACATGCAGATGAGAACAAGTCTGGGCAGGAGGTGTGATGTGTGCATGTGAAAATTAAACCTGGATGTGGAAAAACCCAAGCCAGCACCAGATGATACGTTCAAAGGACATGGTTTGTTTCATATAGAACATGTGCTGCAGGCAGTGTATTGCATTACATGCTACACAACAGCAACAATGCTTGAAATGCCTCCTTTTTCTCCTTGATTGTTTGGGGTTTTGGTATCTCATTACCTTTTTACCTACTCGTTTTTCACCTTTTCTTACAATACTCTTGTATGTTTCTAAACTAACCAAGTTTGTCATTCAAACTGTAATCTCTTTAGTATCTTTTATTTTCAGTAATTTCTTCTCTATTTCAACTCCACTCATCTTCCACCATTTAATCCTTCTTGCTCTCCACTGCTTTAGCCTGTTCCCAGCACAGTCCCCACCTCTGCTCTAGGCAGTCTTCTTTTTCTAGGTCATTATCCTCAGCTTTGGTCATAAGCAAGTATGAGAAGCATCCCTTTATTATATGATATACAAGAACCTGTACTTCAGAAACACAATTACATCTTTAAAATTAGCTTGAGTCACACCCCATGCATTTAAATTGTTCTCATCTCAGCTGGAGATCTGAGAATGGCAGCATGCAGCACTGCACTGTTAGGCCAGCTAACACACTGTATTGCCCTTCTACTAAAATACAGTCTGTAATGAAATCAATTCTGTAATTGTGGTATTCAGATTTAAATAGTTCTTTTTCAAAACATAAAATGATCTCCTTTTTCCTGTATGCTGCCGTGCTTCTGCCCCTGCAGCACAGTAATTACTCTGCTTAAGCCTACTGCCAGTGGCATAATTTATTTCAATTGGCTGCTCAGTCTGATATCTGCCACAGATACCAGGAAATGGTGTTAAAAAACGTACTTTCCTCAAATATATTAAAACCAAAGCGCAGAAGTAGGACTTAGAATCTCCCTGTGTATGTTTCCTCTCTTACAAATCTTATTCAGCCATTCAGGTTATTATTCTTTTAGTTACCCGTTTTAAAGTCCCAATACTGTTTCATATTTTGAATATTCTTACCAGTGTCCTCCTCGGTGTAACTCTTGAAACAAACTTTCATTGGTGTAACTGATAAAGTTACTTCTTCTTGACTGTTCGGGAAGTGAACCATGATATCAGCCAGCAGCCTGTAAAACGTCAGTCAGTGTTAAGATACCTGCCGCAGATTCCCAGCCAGCATTTGTTACTCACATGAGAAACTAGAATAGTTCCTGGGCAGTACTGGTTGCAAAAGTGCCTTTGAAATGTGCACCCCCTACTGTGTGTGCATCTTTTTAATTGATTTATGTGCCAATAGGTACAGAAGACATCTAAAAATACAGCCAGTCATTACAAAAGCAGATTTGTTTGATGTCTGTGTATGCTGCCAGATCAATCTTACATATATATATATGTCTGATACCTTTCTCTCTATATATATCACAATTTTGAGCAACCCTCAGTATCCTATACTCCTTATTCAAAAGCTTAGTTTTTTACAGTTACACAATCTTTTTATAAACACAATACATAGTATCTATACACAGAGGTCTTTATACACGTTTAATGGCTGACTCTTGTGACAAGAAAACACTGTCAGAAGCACTGACAGTGACAGAAATGCTCTCAGGGAAAGTACAGTTGAACTGTTCTTTGCCTTTGCCTGCAGTGACAAGAACTTTGCCTTATTGCACTGAAGAAACTGTACTTTTATCACTGGATTCTTTACCTATAACATCCCAGCTCTGCTTTAGTTGTCATAGGTGGAAGTAGCTTAAAGGTATGAATTCAAAGCAGACATTACACACTTCTCAAGGTTAGACTGAGTGGGATTAATGGCAGAATGAGCCCCATTTCTTAAGCTGCAATGTGAAAAATCAAGCACTAAGGTACAGGGTTTAGGAATTTGCCATTTTTGGCTGTCCCCAATCAGACTTTGATTCTGCCACTGACTATGGCACCAGTATCATCTCCTGTAAGATTCTGCGTTCCAGAAAGATGACATTTTTGTATTCATTACCTGGAGTGGAGTTTGAGTACGTTGGGACACATGTGCTTTGCAAAAACAGCCTGCAGCGGATCGCATTCTTGAAATGTCAGGTTGTATGTTTTCACAACACCTGAGTATAAAGGGCATGAACAAAATCAGTGCTGGTCTGTCATTTTAACTGGCTTATTCAGTATTAACTGTCCTTTTAGGATATCTCAATAGAGAAAATAACTACACTTACTCTAGCTGTGTGGAAATAACTCACTAACAAATAGAAAACTGCTTTCACCTGCCATGGGAGACTTCCTTCATCCTATTAGTTACGCCCTGCAAGGTTCTGATGTTTTTTTAAGAATTCACAAGATGCAAGCAAAGAGCAACAAGTGCAACAAGTGCAGGGAGTGGGGAAAGGCTTCAGTGTTTAACTGGTACAATATAAATGGTGACAGAATCAGATCTCTGTGTATTTCTAGATAAGCATGAGCTAAGAGAGCTTAATGATCCTTCCCTAATTCAATGTGTTCTCTCATTATTAGTAACACAAGATGGATTTTTAATGATGTAAACCACTGCCTATCACACAGTGGTATCACAAGCTATCAGATCAGCAAGCTGTGTTGATAGATGATGGTTCTTTATGAGTTTTACAAAGTACACGTGGTGTTCTGCTGGACTGAGGATGTCAGACCTAGTGCTAAATAACTGTTAGAAGTGAAAAGACCCCGTAAATCCTCTACCAAACCAGGATTTCCCTCCTTTTCCACAATATGTTTTTAAGAGTTTACTCCAGCCTCATTCTAAATGTTGTAGGCAGTTGGTTGGCAATTAATATACAGCAGGCATTAACTACTGAGCTGAAGACTGTTTGTCTGATAAAGCCTATTTTAACTTCATTTTAATAAGGTAATGCAGATAAGTATAAATAATGATGTGAAGAGGCTGGAAGTGGTTGGCATAATGTTCCATCAAGAACATTCAGCTCCTAATTACACTCAATATTGTGCTGCCCTGCTGTTTTAAACTGCTGCTGCTCATGTGAAGATGTGTAACCTACCATGTTTGCAGAGGAGCTGAAAAGTTATGTGATGATCATTAATATTTGTATAAATGCTGCATTTCTCTACATTCCTTTCCAGCATATTTACACATCTAAATACAGGAAGAACTGACTGTAAAGAAAACAAACAAACAAATTAGCACAGAGGTTATTCACTAAGCAATATTTCCCCTACTTTTGTATGATTTATATCAAGGTCCTGCTTTTATAGCTTCCCCAAACTGCTTTGTAAGCAGATACTAATCCTTGCCATCCTCACCCACTATTCCAATATATGGCCAATAGAGCTGTTTGCTAAAGAACTGGTCAAAGCTCTCTGGCTCATACTGGTTGTGAAGGAGAACCACAGAGAGGCAGAAATGTGGTATTCCTTTATCCTGAGATTAAGCTGGCTCAGACTTCGGGAACCACAGGGCACAACTGAGGAGGTACAACTTCCAAACATAATTATATACTAACACCCTTTTGCAGAGCTGCTCAGAAGTGTTTTGAGTTCAGAGCCATCCACATACCTCTAGGAGCCTCCCTCTATAATTTCATTTGGAAAATGGGCTAATTTGCTGCTTACAAAGCTGTGCATTGAAAAATCCATTCAAATGTACCTTGATTATCAATTTACACGGGGGGGATAACTGCTTTTCCTTCTGATGTGGCTGAGGCACAGCTGCCCAGCAGTAGTGTTGAAAAAACATAGATGAGAAGAACACGTATGCATATGCTGACCTTGAAGAATTCACTGATCTCAAGGCAAGCTGGTAACGGAAGTAAAATAATTTATTAATGAACATTTATTAACTCAAAACTATTTACACTGTACCATACAGGTACCATTTGGTACCATACAGGAACCATTCGAGCTTTTAAATCTCAGTACTCATAGAATCATAGAATGGAAAGGACCTTAAGATCATCCAGTTCCAACCCCCCTGCCACTGGCAAAGCATCTCAACCAAGCATCTCACTAAAGCATCTCAACCAAGGCTTCGTCCAACCCTGAACACTGCCAGGGATGGAACATTCACAACCTCCCTGGGCAACCCATTCCAGTGCCTCACCACCCTAACAGGAAAGAATTTCCTCCTCATATCCAATCTAAACTTCCCCTGTGCATTACAGATAGAGTCATAGTTCAAACTTATCACCTGTATCATTACTGGTATAATACAGGCAGAGGAATCCAGTCTATGGACATTTAAGCGGCCCTGACCTTTGGTGAGTTACCAAAACACTTGGAGCTCAGTCTGAAGCATTTGAAGGACTGGAGTTTATTCTAGAACAATCTTGCTCTACGCCCATCCACACAACACATACAAATGCGCAAAGACACCAGTAGCACCCCAAAACTTCTTATATAAAGAGTTTAAACTCTTATATAAAGAGTTTATAAAGGTATAAAAGGGAATTTTCTCCACTCCTCACCCTCCCAGCAAGTCAAGATCACTTTTAACTAAGAACCCCCTAGAGAAAACCCTAATATTGCTGGAAATGGCTTCTGATTAATCAGAGGCACATTAATGGATGCACGCTTCCTGTTGAGTCATCCTGGTACAAAACATGTTGTTCAGAGGCAGCTTCTGATGGGGTACAGCACAGGAACCTTTTGACCCATGGTATTAATCCAGATGTCCTGGACAAGCTCAGGTAACAAAGAATGGAACAGCAGGGGCAGAGTGGGAATGGCTCTTCCATGATGCAATCTGTGTAATTACAATTACAGACAATATGGCGTTTGTCCATATTGAAAGTGGAGGGGCTCAGATGGGAGGGTACCTGCAGGAAAACAATGCATTATCCAACAAGGTAAATATTGTGCTTCCGACAGAGGCTTTTAAACTACAATAAATCAAATCCACTTACACCTTTCTCTAAGGGGTCAAACCAAAACTCATCGCTGATACGTGCTATGGCGTGAATTGCTCTCCCGAACACTGGCAGGAAAAGAAAACAACGCAATGTGAAAACCCAAAGTTATACTGCATCTTCTCCAGACTAACTGAAGAGGAAACATCACAAACGTTTTATGCATTTCAATGGAAACCAATGCCAGGGCGGAAAACGTCACTCTTTCCTTCCCCTTTTCAGCACAAACACCTTGAAGCCCGCTTTGCCGCACGGCCCTGCGGCAGCCCCGCTCTGGGGCGCCCGTTTCCCCCACACAAACCCCTCAGATCGGAGCTGGGTACCTCTGAGGTGCGCCCCGCCAATGACACACTTCATGGCCGCCCCTTCCCTCACACGACGGCTGCAGAAAGGGCGGGAAACGCCCCGCTGAGGGGCGTTCCTCAGAGACCCGGATGTAGCCGGAAGGCGGCTGCGGAGAAACGCGTTTTGGTCTGCGTTTGGCCCTTCGGAGGCGCCGTAGCGGGTGCTCGGCGCCGGCCTGGCTTCCGGGAGCGGGCGCAGCGGGCGCTGTGAGGAGCGCGGCGCCGGGCAGGATGGTGAGCGGCGGGGCAGGGCCGGGCTGGGCCCCGGCTCCGGGGTCTTCCTCGTCCCGTGGCGCCGGAGGGCCCCGGGTTCGCTTCCTGCGGGGTGTGGGGAACGCGCGGTCCGGGAATGCTTTCTGTCGGTGTCCGCCCCAAACCCCCCCCCTCGTGCCGAGCTGAGGTAGATGGAGGGCGGGCGGGGAGCGTTGAGGAGGGGCCGTGCGGAGGGGCTGTGGCGGCCGGGGCTGCGCGCAGGAGCTGAGTTTTAATTTCATTTAATTTAATTATTTTTTTTTAACGCTTCTTTCATAACATCAACAATTCATTAATTATTATTTGCCTGTTCATTCGGCTGTATTTTCTTTTCTGTTGCTTTCTTTTGTTTTAACATTGATCATGGTTCACCCTGTTTTTCATTTCCCCCCCTGTCTGCAATCAACTTCTCCATTCCAATAAGGCTGGGCACAGAGTAAGTTTACTCCTCTTGGCTGTTGCTAACACTGGTGGTAAGGGCTTGTCAATGTTACTAGATGATACAGATGTCAGATGGGACACGTGAATTAGGGCTGCTGTTCAAACCATGCTCATGATTGCACCTAAATGCCTAGTAGAAGCCAGATGGCATAACTATTTCATGGTGCTGTGACTATTAAACACACTTCAGTACTTTTAATTAGGTTTTGTTACTGTAGCTTGCCAAGCTTTTCTGTAATTAATGGGTGCTCAGATGTGATTTCAGGGAGAATATGGGGTCGGCTGCTTTGTCAGCAAAGGAAGCGGCCTTCGTTGAATGCATGCACGCTGCTGACTTCAGTGGGGTTGTGCGATTTGAGTGGCAGGGTAATTCTATTAAACATTAAATACATAACTGGCATTGTGTGTCCAGGTTGCTTAAGCATTAGTAAGAGAATCTATGGCTACTTTAATAATCAAAATCACTTATTACACATTTTCTACTTGCATTCAACTATACCAGCTCTAGACTGATGCTAGGAGGGGTATTTTTCACTGGCAACTCTTGAAAAACCATTAAAAATGTCTTTTTCCCCCCTCTCCTGGGTTAGTTTTAAATTGGCAGCTCATGGGTTCAAAGCCTCTTGTATTGCTTTACCAGTACTTTAATCCATCTGTTCACCAAAGATGCATGGTTTTGATGATGGCACGGAAATGCCCCAATAAAACCAAAACTCACCCGAGTTTTGCCTTTTTTTGATGCCTGTGAGACAGCTGCATAGCCTAAAACTATCAAAAATAAATATTAAAAAAGATAATTTATTAGCATAGTTACTGCTGTTTATATATATATATATGTGCTGCGTCTTTTACAAGTGCATTTGATGGCTGTCATTTTAGGTACTGTTACTAACAAAGTGTTACAGTTGGAAGATAAACTTTTTATTATGGAGCTATTCATCAAGTTAACAGGGATGACTGTAGATCCAGTGTTTTTGCAGCACAGTGGTGTCACGTCCCATGCTTTATGGAGCTTTCCATGCCCTTTTTGCATAATTAATTTATTGCCGTTGCTTGCATTAATTATTTGCACATTTAAAGCCTGTGCTGTTAAACTATGGTCCTACTTCAGCTGAATCCTTAATTTTGAAGCCCCATTAAATTTGTATTCTCCTTACAGCTGTTGTACTGCAACTATGAGTATCTAGAACCGGTAACAGCAGCACTGTGTGCAGGATGTGTAATAGTCTGCCTTATCTTGTCTGCAGTGCCCTGGTTTATTTTGTTTATTGTTCTTTAATCTGTTAGTCTTACTCTGTTGTTCAGTGGTTCCTCAGTAAGGGCTCTGAACAAGCTTTTTATTCTGGTCAGCTATTAACACACATTGCAAACTTTCAGTGCTTTTTATTTGCCTTCTTATTTTTTTCTTTGGATAAGAAAACAAATTAGAAAGAAATTGGGTTTGAGTTTTAAGGGAAGTTGGCTACAGTCTAGCTAGGTCTGTGCTTGAGAACATGTGCTAGGGATAGCTGATGGTAGTTCCTAAATTTATGTAAAATACATCAAGTAGTAACGTTTCTGTTGTTACACCTTGCAATGGCTTTCAGCAACAAAATAAATGGAGATGCTGTAGGCTGTTGTTTTGGTAAGGCCCCTCTGGGTAATGTCCTGTGGTAGTAAGGGCCTCGTTTTCCCTCAATATAACAATATTCCATCACCATTCCAGACTTACTTTAGTAGACATCAAAATGCCAAGTTAGAAAACTGAAGAGCACATTGCAAAGCTTTCTGTTTGCCTGTGGTTCTTGTCTTAATAAGCATTTTGTAACGACCTTTCTTTCCTGTTGTGACACCTAAGTTGGTGTTAGTGCTGGGAGATCTTCACATTCCACATCGATGCAACAGCCTCCCAGCCAAGTTCAAAAAGCTGCTGGTTCCAGGGAAGATCCAACACATCCTCTGCACGGGAAACCTCTGCACCAAGGACACTTATGACTACCTCAAGACCCTGGCTGGGGACGTTCATGTTGTCAGAGGGGACTTTGATGAGGTATTGTCCTCTCTTGATAATAATATTGGCTTTGTTCATCTACATCAAGGGTTATTTGTAATTCAAGTAAAAGTGGGCAAACTGAGGTTGGGTGGTGCTATCAGACCTTAAAGTTCCTTGCATCCTGCCACATTCTCCGGTGTTCATAAAAGCAGCTTTGTAGCAGTAGGGCCAGTTACATTGACTATTTTCATAAGCACTGGCACAGGCTGCCCAGAGAAGCTGGGGCCTGAAGCAGTCTGGTCTAGTAGAAGGTGTCCCTGCCCATGGCAGCATTAAGGTCCCTTCCAACCCAAACCAGTCTGGGATTCTATGATATGAGTCTAAGAAGCTTTCCCCCCTCTCTCCTTCGTGTTGCGTAGAATTGTTTTTAAAGCATAAATCTGTACATCTAATCTGTGGTTGGTTTCTTTTTTAGAACCTGAATTATCCTGAACAGAAAGTTGTAACTGTTGGACAGTTCAAAATTGGGCTGATTCATGGCCATCAGGTTATTCCCTGGGGTGACATGGCCAGCCTGGCACTGCTACAAAGGCAATTTGATGTGGACATCCTCATTTCAGGACACACACACAAATTTGAGGCATTTGAACATGAAAACAAGTTCTATATCAATCCGGGATCAGCTACAGGAGCCTATCATGCCTTAGAGAAGTAAGTGAAGTATGGGAATGATCTGTGGGAATAACTAGAAAACTTATTACGAAGATTAATGTTGGCATTCTAAATGTTGGGGAGAGGAAGGGTTGATAGTAGCAGTGAAACACTGCTGAGGTGATTATATACTCACAACTAATATGAATTTTTCCCTTTCTTAACAGCAACATCATTCCTTCATTTGTGCTGATGGATATCCAAGCTTCCACGGTAGTTACGTATGTCTATCAATTAATTGGAGATGATGTGAAAGTAGAAAGAATCGAGTACAAAAAATCTTAAACATGCTTTGGCTTGTCTCGTATTTTTACCATCTCATTCTGAACTGCAAGTTCCAATACTTGATTGCTAGTTTACAGTCCTACCCTTACTCACTAACAGCTTAAACAATGTAGCTTCTTGGTAATAACTTTGAAACATCATTGTGTTTGCTTTTCTCTCTATGAATTGATTTGTAAAATATTCCATTAAAGTAACTGTTTAAATACTGTTCCTTTATGTTGTAATAAACTCCACTTCATAATAAAACTAAGCTTTATGAACTGGTGTTGGGGAAAAATGAACCAGTTGCAAGTGCTTTTAGAATGCCCCATGCTGTTTGGTGACTTCTGAAGGATATTTAATTGTAAAAGGCTTGAACCAAAAGATTGGGGGCTCTGCAGCCATGTTATGTTTGCTTCAGAATCCAGTTGATATTTAATTTTCTCAACCTAGCATTCCCAATAAAATGGATTTATAGATTCTGAAACTATTGCAGTTAATTCATAACTTACAGTAGTAATTTCACTGCAGAAAGTTTAGTCTTTTTATAATTGAAGCGGTTTCAAATACCCCTATGCTTTAATGAATGATGGTCTCATTAAATCTATAAATCATAAAGAGAGGCTTTCCTTTATTTATGGTTCATGTCTGACACTACAGCTATACATGCTTTGCTCCTTGTGCAGAGCTTTTGGATATGTAATTCCATATGATACTCGTGCTACTACAGGAGACTAAGACATGGGTTGTTCAAGACAACCAGACTGTTGGGCTTTCCTTTCTCATGCCTGCAGGGAACTTGAAGTATATTCCCTGTATGTATATACATATATATATATATAAACAGATCCCATTTTGCTAACCTTCCAATAAAACCAGAACATGAACTTTTGTCTTCTTGCAGAAGAACATTTAGTGGTGGCCTATTTACTTTGCAGTCGTTGGCCTTTGTATTGTGGCTCTTTCCAGTGTGGTATATGTGCAAGAAGCTGTGCAGTATTTGTCACAAAGTTTTAAGTTCTATGGAAAACCAGTAGGTTAAAGGATCAGTTAGAACCCTTACTCTGTAATAAGCTGAGTAAATAACTTCTATTCAAAATAAATCTGCTTTACCTTAGAGACCAGTGTTTCAGCCTAGTATCTCGGGGAACCTCTGGCTAACTGCTGCTTCATGCATTAAAACACATGGCTATTGCTGTGTTCTGCTGCAGACATACAGAAAGAACAGAGTTGAAAAGAAAACCTTGGCATGCATTACTCAAGGAAGGTTAGTGACTGAGTGGAACAATGCCATAATTAAAAAAAGCTTATAAACTACCATAAGAACGAAATGGATACCAGAAGTCAGTTTATTTGTGCTCACTGTAGATATAATTACAATTAGACTACAAAGTATATTTTACATCAAGTACACCATTTACAGCTTTAGAAACAGTTTACCATAATTACACAAGGTTATGTTTGTCTGAATGAAGTCTTACAGAGATGCTGACAGCAGACTTAAACATGGAGAAATACAGAAGGAAATAAACTAATCCTTCCTAAAATGAAAGTGCAGAATATGAACATTATTCTTGAATAGAAACAGAAAATTTTACTGTAAATCTAAACTGTTTCAACAGAAAGAGGATGGAGAAGAAACAGCCTTGAACAGTTAAAAAAATGTGGAAAGCTCAGGATAGCTTTTGATATAAGAGCATTGAGGTTTTAGATGAATGTTCGCTGACTGTAGGAGCATTCCCAATGCATGGCCCTCCTATTGCCAGCAGAGGGAGAAAAGGGTAAATCAAGACCTTATCAATGACAGTTCAAGTACAGACGTCTCTGGTCCATTCAGATACATCTGGAAGGTAAAAAAACACTATTAATGGGGCTTAGGAAAAGGGGAGAGCATCTAAAACCTGTGAAGGTACCTGAAAGCGTAATGCTTCACATGGCACAGATTTGGTCCAAATAAAATGAATTATTTTAATTAAGGGATATTTTATTATATACATTTTCCAAAAATAAATCAGCTAACAAGTATTTTTGTTAAAAGTTGAGTGAAATTCTCAGTGTAGAAAAACAAAAGGAGAAAGCACTACGTGAGGTACAGAAGTGGTTTGTTTTACCTTCAGAAGGTCGGATGATGGTACATCTGCCAGAGTGGGGTTTCCACATTTCTCTTGATATTCTCGAATTAGGGCTGTAGCATCATCAATGCTGTAGGAGGCAAAAGTTTATCAATTCATCAACTTAAACACCCTAAAAGGCAAAGAATTCAGACTACATACACTGAAGGGGAACAATAAGGTATGACCTCACATTTTTTGCAGTCAGATAGCTCCTGTCATTTCCCAGTAGAGGGAAACAAGCCATGACAAGCCTAGCATTTAACCCGTGACTGCTAATAAAATCACTATATACTACAGTTTAAACAATTATTTATTGGTTCCTGTCCCATTCTGACTGCAGGATAGCTGGTAACTCACAGTACCGAGTATTTGGGGTGTGAAGTGAAAGGCTGCAGCTGTGTTCAATACCCAAATGCTGTGAGTCACCACTGATGGATTCCTGATTAAGAACAGCCCTGCAGCAGGCTCAGCAGCAAGCTCCTTGGTTTTATTTAAGTGGAACGCAAGAGGTATTTCTAGCTCTTGAAAACCACTAATTCCTAAGTCTGGAGTACAGGCAGTTCATTTATTTTTCTCAGTGCTTGTATTGCTGAAGCTGTGACTCTTGACACCACCAAGCTGAGATCATCTGAAGGTATAGTCAAGTGATTCAAAACTGTTTGCTTTTTCAGTCAGGTTATTTGTCCTGTTTTAACTGCATTTGATCTGATTGCCAGTCCAGGCTCTACAAATTGTTACCTTGCCTTGAATGACACTGTAAAACTCTGGCATAAGTATGTAAAGTAGTGAGGTGTGACTCTTATTTTATTCGTTTAACTTAGCACTACTTCAGAAATTCTTGGAGACTAAATACTAGGGAACCTCAATGACATAAACTGAACTAAACTAAAAGAGAGATTAAGCTTCTGTTACTGTCAATAATGCATCACCTGTTTCACCTTTTATTAACTTACCAGTTCTTCTTCACAAAGTAATCCACCAGTTCTTTCAGTCTGTGAGTACTCATCAGTTGTTGCTTCAACAGTGGAAAATACTTCGTTTTCAAGAATTTTTCATACAGCTTCTCATTTATAATGCTGTCCAAAACCAAAGATCGGATCTGTAGATTTAAGTTTTAGTAACGAAAAACCATTAATATTTTAAACAGAAGAAATTTTACTGTTGAATGAAAAGAGCTCAGAGTTTTCTTGCTGGACTCCCATAGACGTTACTGTTTTATTTTAGACTTTATGTTTTAGTGCTGAAAATGGCAGATTTTACAAATTAAGAAACTTGCCCTTAGGAAGGCAGCCCAAGACAAAGCAACAGAGTGCAGTTTTGTAAGCTTTTTGGCCTTTTAGAGTAAATTACCATTTACTCTAGGCATAGTGCTGCCAACAATGCTGGCCCGCAAACAGAGCGGCCTGTAACACTGCGTACATACAAGGAGTTTTTCAGTTGCACAACATTAATAAAAATGCAAACATCCATGCAAAAGTTGCTCTGTTTTACAAGTGGGCAGTATGTCAACTAATGCTTGGCAAGATCAGGGCAGAGAGGAAAAAGGGTTCTGAGTACCTTTATCTTCTTGTCTAACAAAAAGCCTCAAAGGCAAACAAAACATTTATTGTATTTACCTGAGAAGCAAATGCTACTACTTCTCCAGTGTTCATGTGCTCATCTATTTGTTGCAGCACAGTTTCTGCGTTACATGTCGATAAGAAGCCCTTGTAAAAGTAAGTTACAAAAAGTTATTAATCTGAGAGATTAAAGTAGAAACTCTTCCTTCAGAGCAAGTATTTGATTTATTCAGGATCAATATTTTGAATTTCTAGATACAAACAGGAAATCATTAAACCAGGTTCTGTGCTCTTTGACTGAGAGATAATACTCATAGCTTTTAATTCTCACAGGGTATTTTGCTGTAGCTAGTATAGATGATTTTGGGTTTTTGACTCACTGCCAGCAGAACAAATATCTTGCACTAGTGCCGTAATTTGGGAAAATCTTTCTGAGCTTAACTTTAATGACTGGAAGTCTGTGAATTTGAGATGCTTTTAGTAGTGCCAGTGTGCTCCTGACAACTAATAGGAATGGCCTTCACCTGGGAGAACAATAAGCAGACCATAAATGAATGGCAACAAATGAGAGGAAACTCAAGATACATGAATAGTGAGGAAATGGCTTTAAGGCAAAAGGTTTACATCAGAACTTAGAAAGATACTTCATATGCATTACAAGAAGTCTATGGGGCTTCCAACTCAGCACTTTTCTGTAGTAGGATTCAGTACTTTTCCTACAGTCTGTTGTCAAACTACCCACCTGGTTGCTCATTACCAGTTACATATGTTATCATCAACTCCACACTACTCTAGCAGGTATATGGCCTAAGGCTTGTTGGGGCTTTTACATGAGCTTTATGGGTGGGATCCCTCCGATTCACAAAGGCCAGAGTCATGTGACATGGCTGCTGAGGATGACTTGAAGCTGCTGCTTTTGCCTTAAAAAAAGGAAGTGTTCACATGATCCCTTTTAGAAGGGCAAACTGAGCAAAAGCCTTTGTGGATGGGAAATGCTGAGCAGCTGTCAGCAGTGATGTATTTAAACAAGCTCAAATTATATGTTACCATCCTTTACAGTCTCTCTTGAACATAACACTCTTAAATGCATTCCCTTGCACAGATAGAACACAAAACTTTTTACCTGAATTTGCTGTTCTCGCTTCTCAGACTGAGGGATCAGCAGCAAGCACCCCAAAGCAAAGGCTGGAAGGTCCAGCTGTGCATATTGTTTAGCTATTCCAATGACATCCAAGTCAGCTAGAACAGGACACCTTCACAAGAAGATTAGGAATGATATATAAAAAGTTGTCAACATATATATGTATGTGATTTTTAAGCCAGATAGGGCAATAGAATTTTACTTCATCTTTTCAGAAACAGCCAAGCTATGGGAGTTGAAGTTTCATGCAGTACAAATGCATGACAATTTTCTGTCTCTTTCTCTCCTCCTTCTCTTTCAAACAGCCAAGGCCCTGTTTTGAGGGGAAGTGCTGGCCAACTGCCCAGTGCTTTGGTACATATGTATATGCACAGTGGTATAGGTATGCTCTTCAGCTGGACCCTTTTCCATGTTTCC